AAACCGTTAGCGCACGTTTAAAAGCAGCTTTAATAATTTTGTGTAGTCACCGCTGGCTTTAGTACCATTGAGGCAGTTGAGAGGGTAGCGCAGGGTTCTCCTGAAGTTCCCTCGCCTGATTGTAAATAGTGTCTATATATACATATAGGTATTTATGTGTGTTTTGCTTAGTTTTAATTTTCTTATTTTTAGGTTATTTTATTTTATTTATTGTATATACTTTTTGATTATTATTTATTTTATATTTTTTGTACATATAGTGTGAATGTTATCCTACCTCACTATAACTAGTGTCCATGTGACAGATTGTTGTAATACTCAATAAATAAATTTTTAAAAATAAATAAATAAAATAATTGTGTTATAGGAGGTAAACTCTTGTTTTAGGAAAAAGAATCAACTGAGGCATTGAGAGAAAAAAAAGATGTTTTTAACGACTAGTCTAAAAAGAAAACAGTTATTTGATTGAACATGCAAATTAAAAATTTGATTTTCAGACAATTAATTAAGTTTGGAGAATAATAATAATAAATAATAAAGTTTTGAGAGAAAATTGGGTACTCGAATTTATAGTTGTTTTTTTTAATAATTAATATGAAATAGATTCTTAGCAGTAAGGTACAGGAAAGATTATATAGTAAACCTAACTTCAGATCAGTTGATTATATTGAAATATCGTATTACTGTTATTCATCTACTTTTTTTTTTAACGCATGGCGGACATAGCTGTGGAGCTTTGAACTTCAAACCCTTGTCACTTCGAATTTAAAACACGTTTATACATATGCCCCGATATGAAAAATTGATAATGTCTCATTAGCTATTAGAAATAAGATATTTCTCAGGACTTTATTAAAATTCTTTTTAACTCAGTGGCAAGACGTTTAAGAGTTGTGATTCAAGACAGGTGTGGAAATACCCGTCATTTAATAATAATAATAATAATAATAATAATAAGGCTTAGCGAACCCGAAGGTTCGATGCCGACACCACCAATCGCTTGTTACACACCTCCCTCCACCGTTCGCCGTCCAAACCCAGTCCCTTCAGATCGGCTTTAATGCAATTTTCCCACCTTCGCTTCGGTCTACCCCTCGGACGCTTACCATTCGGCACAGCAAATATTAACCTTTTAGGAATTCTCTCGTTACTAAGCCCAACAACTTTACAAGCCCATTTGATCCGCCGCGATGAAATTACATCAATTATATTACCCGGATACAGCTCACGCAATTCGGCGTTGTGTAACCGTCTGAACTCTCCGGTTAACTCATCCTTCTTCGGTCCGAATATTCTACGCAATACTTTATTTTCAAAAACCTTAAGACGCTGCTCATCCCTTAATGTAAGCGGCCAAGTTTCGCATCCATAAAGAACTGTAGGCAAGATAATTGTTTTATAGATTCTAATCTATAAGTTCCGGGACAAGAGGCGCGAACTAAATAGTTTTGTCACAGAAAAATAACAAGCATTTCCCGCCTTCAGTCTAACCTTAATCTCTTCTTCAATTTCGTTTTTTCTAGTTATCGTTGAACCTAGATACCTAAATTTATCTACCTGTTCAAACATATTACCATCTATATCGATGTCACCAGTAGTATCGCCATTTTTGCAGCTAACCATATATTTTGTTTTATCCACGTTTATTTCGAGTCCTAGTTCTTTACCGGCTTTCATTAACGTTGTCGTATTTAGTTTTATAGTTTCAACGTCTTCGCTTAACAGTACCAGATCATCAGCATAGCCCAGCACGGATGTTATCCCGCCTAGATCCAACCCTTTCTCGGTTCGCATTACGTCCCTAATGGCATGTTCTAATGCCAAATTGAACAGGACAGGCGAAAGTGAATCCCCCTGTTTTAAGCCCGAACGAACCTCAAATTTTTCGGACAAATTATTACCGATTATAACTTTATTGAGTGTCTCCGTCAAGCACATCCTGACTAGATTTACTAGTTTTTTTGGAATCCCCTGCTCGATTAGAATATTATACAGTTTCTGGCGGTCAATAGAATCGTAAGCCTTTTTAAAATCTATATACAGCTGGTGAACAATACCGTTATACTCCAATTTTTTCTCTAATATTTGCCTTAAAGAAAATATTTGATCAATAGTCGAACGATTCCGTCTAAATCCGCATTGGTAGTCTCCGATAATTTCCTCGGCGTATTCCGTGATTCGACTGGTTAAGATTGAAGTGAATATTTTATAACATACCGGAAGGAGTGAAATTCCTCGATAATTATTACAATCCGTCCTCGGACCCTTTTTGTGAATCGGAATAAGAATAGATTCTTTCCATTCTTCAGGTAATTTCTCGTTCACCCAGATCTTTTTAACCAACTGATGTATTTTAGAAACTCCAGCTTCCCCGCATGCCTTAATTAGTTCAGTAGGAATATTATCGATTCCCGCTGCTTTATATGATTTTAATTTTCCGATAGCTACTTCAACTTCCTCTTTACTTGGTCCTTCTATTAACGGTTCAGCACTCTGGTACTCAGAAGGAGGACACAGATCATAATTTCCCGTATTTAAAATATTGTCAAAGTGGTCCTTAAACTTATTCAATATGTCAACCGGATCGGTCAGAATATTGTTATTATCATCCCTAATTCCAGACGTTACGGGCCCTACATATTTACGTGATCTGTTTATACCTTTGTACATGTCTCTTACGTTATTTTCGATTCTATTAGTTTCTATTTCAATTATTTTATTTTTAAGATACTCCCTTTTTTTATTTTTGAGCAATTTTGTCGTTTCGTTCTTTGAGATTCGGAAGTATTCCAGATTGTCTTCGCTAGGATTATTTAGAGCTTTTAATTTAGCGGCTTTTCTTTTTTCGCACATGTTTAAGCAATCTTCATCAAACCACGGTTTGTTATTCTTAGTTTCCTTTTTGCCTAGGCACGAGTTACCGACCGCTTTTATATTATCCCTGATCTCTACCCATAACTTGTCAATATCCTCGTGGTCCTCGTCAGGAAGCTCTAAAGCTTCAAACCTATTCTTAACATCTAGCTCGAATTGGTTTCTAATTGATGGGTTTTTTAATTTTTCCAAATTAAAATTCTCAAAATCGAAACGGTTTTCTTTTCTCTTTTTTATATTAAGTTTTTGTCGAAGTTTCGCGATTACTAATTCATGATCCGACCCACATTCTGCTCCGCGATAAGACCGTACATTGATTATACTGCTTTTCCAGCTGTGTTGTATCAAGACATGATCTATTTGTTTTCGTGTTTGCGAATCCGGTGATGTCCAAGTATATTTATGAATATCCTTATGTTTAAACGTCGTACTTTTAATAATCAGGTTTTTCGACATGGCAAAGTTTATCAGACGGATCCCATTATCATTACTATATTTGTGCAAACTTTCTTTACCAATCGTCGGAATATAAGCTTCTTCCCTTCCTACCTTTGCGTTCGCGTCACCTACAATTATTTTCATGTAGTTTCGCGGTAGTTTATCATAAACCCATTCGAGTTTATCGTAAAATTCACTTTTGACTTCATCGTCACTGTCTTCGGTCGGACAATGTATGTTTATTAATGCGATTTTAAACCAACGTCCCTGAAATGTAGCTACCGAAATTCTATCACTAAAGAATTGTACGTCCCTCAAAGCGGATAGTAATCTACTCCTAATTAGAAACCCGGTACCTAAACAATGATTCCCGCTTCCTCCGTACCAAATAGTGTACTTCCCTTCCCTCATCGAGCCCTCCCCTGGCCAGCGAACCTCTTGCAGAGCCACGACATCCAAATTGTACCCATTTACCTCATTCGCGACCGATTTTAGCCCCCCTGCTGTGTTTAAACTCCTTACGTTCCACGTACCAATATTTAAATCCCTATATTTCAACTTGCGCCATGAATCCCCTAAAGCAGTCCCCACCCGGAGACCCGAACGGGGGACTAGTTTACCTCCGGATAATGAGCGTTTTACCATAGGGAGATCCATGACTTTTTGTGGTGTTTGGTGAACAAAAGATATGTGAGTAGGGCGTTCAATCCTACGTCACACCCTCCAGCAAGTCTGGTGGGCCCCTACCTCCAGCAAGTCTGGAAGTCCCCTCCCTCCAGCAAGTCTGGAGGGCCCCTCTCATTGTTGGTCAGCGAGTCCATCGGACTTAGCCGGGAGGAACTTCCAAGGAATTTCCACCGACCATCCCCACATCCGCCACCCGTGGGACGCTCCCTATACGCGGTAATGAGCCCGCGCGAGGAATACCCGTCATTTACTTAACAAAAATGTGAATTTTTCTTATAATTTGTTTTTTAATGTTCCAATATGTTATGTAGAATATTTCTTCTTTTACTATCTGTGTACTTTATTTTATTAATGTAAAATAAAAACAAAATTCAAATGACTGATTTTATCATATAAACATTTTTTGGACTCCAAAAGTCAAATAAAGTGGATATCTTTGAAAAAATGTAGGTAGTACTTTAATTTTGTCCATCACTTTAGTTTCAAATTGTGCACTATTCAACGAGAAAAAATGCGGATTTTAATTTCATCTTTCGGTGCAACGTCATCTTCAAGTTTTGGCAATGTTTTTTGGGACCTTTGGAGGTTCTAGTTTTCCGTGTGCTTGAAATAAATCATCTTGGAATATGATTTTTTTGGTACTCTCTTTTGATCGACGTCATTTTGAAAAGCCCCCGCTTTGAGTTAACAGACCAGTGCATATTGAATGCTTAGCATGAGGTAGGAAAAGACATTATAAGAATACGTAGCTAAAAAAATTCTTTATTTCTCTTGGACTAACAGAACTGGTTAGTGTGATATGATCAGGTACTAAGAACCGTTCCTAGTACACCATATATTTTGTATCCCATTCCTAGTACGTTGTACTATCGGACATCGTTTATCGTTCCTTGTCCTTTATTTCAAGATTTCATTTCAACTAGTTCGTTCAGCTATCTTCTATATTATTGTGTACTCTATGGTATCAACAGTAGTTTCGTTGCAACTTCATTGGATGATAACAAAGATAACAGTGGGGATGGTTTCGTTTCTTCAAACGTAACCGACCATTTCAAATTTAAAGGCTTGTGTTTTGTTTTTTATTGCGGTTTATCCTTATGTTTAAAAAAAAATTATATGTGATTTAATAATAAATTAATATTAGTTTGTATTGTTCTGTAATAGAGCAATAAAAACATGTTGATTTGATTTAAAAAATCATTTTTATTTTTTTCATAATTAGCTGATTACTGTTTTAAATTTTATTTTATTAATATGCTGCGTTCGTCTTTTTCTATTATTGTTTCTTCGTTGTTCCTATGCTATATATCTTATTCAATCTATGGATTGGCCAAACTTTTCTTTCCACCTTCTTGTTCTTCAAAAGAACTTTGTCTAAATTACTATTTAAGTAAACAGCCGAAAATGCAGGTAAGTAATTATTTTAATTTACATTACATTAATACATAGGTTCTTCATAATATATTTTAAAAAGATTTAGTGTTATTGTTTATGAAATTTTTATAAATTAATATTTTGATATTTCATGAATGTTTTTTTAGTTTTGTATGCCTATGTTAGGTCACATTACATTTTACTGTTCAATGGAGAGTTTGATTGGTTTAAATATTTTCTGAGGAAGTGTTACTTAATACCCATTAAATAAGTTATGATTAATGATTCCTTGGCTTATCATTTTGGCTTGACTTATGTGTAAGTCTTCATGATAAATATTTATTATTATACTATACATCCGTGACCTAAAAAAAAATTAAATCCTGGGTCTAAGTATTGGGTTTTTATCTCTAAAATTATGCCACAGTACAATACAGATAAAATATTATTTATTTACTGATAACTTAAGTTAGATAAACTGTTGATTATGTTAACAGGAAATATTAAACATTTATTTATTGCATAGGAGGAAAATCCCTCTGGACAGGCAATAACTGTAAGCTATCTCCCTTTGTTAGTAGGGGTACATTTTTAATACATATAATGGTACATTTTTCTTTTTTTCAACTTTCCATATTATTGGACAACTTAAAACAAGGTTTGATGGTTATTTCTTTGTTCCAGATCAGTAATCTAATAACCCATCTATATCTGGTGTTTTCCCCTTTTTAGTTGGCAACCCATATTACTTGATCCAAAGTTATTTCTGTTTTGTTTTAGAGTGTGTGCATTAATAACGTTAGTCCTGGTTTCCCACTATTTAAGTTATTTTTGAAGATGTTTGATTATAATGTGCACCCTCTTAGCTAGCACTCCTAATCTCTTTTTTTACTTCTATTTGTGCCTCTTTAAAAATCCATTCTGCTTTTTCATTCACCATTTACCACAAATCTTCATTCGTTTTTAAATTTCTTCTTCTTCTTCCTAGGCACGACAGACGCACTAAGCAGTCCTTTCTCTTTGCCTGTTCCCACACTCTTACCCAGCCTATTAAGTCTCATCGAATCTGCACTTAAAATATCTCTTCTATTGGAAAACATGTACAGCATGTACTTGTCCTATCATGCCCATCCTGACCAAATGACCCAGCCATCTGAAACTTCTTCTTTCTCTGTTCTTGCATATTTTAATCCTCTGTCAAATTTGGAATTTCATTTTCCTTTTTAATTATTTATTGAGTTTGGATATTCCATCATTATCCTTAATCCATTTCAAGACAACTGGTTTTTCTTTCCTGAAAATTTGAAGCATCTGATAAAGTAACTTTTGATTTTCTTTTTTCTTGAAATACGAGTATATTTATTTAGTCTTTTCTTTCTCAAATTTAGATTAAGTTTTTGTTTGTTTTGTAAATTTCTTGATGGAATTTTGTCTGGATAGTTCTTTCAGTGAAGTATATTTTTATTAATTTCTTTAACATCTAGCCACAGTGTTCTTAACAAGTGGACAAATCATCACATATTAAATTTCGACAATCTATTTTTTCTTTTCTTTGATTATCCCTATTGCACCATTATTTCTAGCATATGGGGAGGAAGAAGGGTCTTAGAGGTATAACGTAACCTATTCTAACCAGAGTAGGAAGGTTGTTGAGATTCATTACGTGGTTCTGAAAAAAATGTGGGTACTTCTTAAGTAGCCGGTCGGGACCAACTGCTATCTGTGAATGTTTATAGCCTTAACACCGATAATTCTGATAAGGCACTGATAATATCTTCGTAATCATATTTATTGTATTATATTCATATTATTGGAATTGTAAGCAAAAACGGTACTTTTAACGGTACATGTCTAGGGGCCGCTACTGACTGCTATCTGCCAATGTTTATATCCTGAACACTGATAACTCCCATAACGCAGTGATAAACCTTCTCCTACTTCATATCTTCGTATTATTGTATTAAATTCGTATTATTGAAAGTGTAAACAGATACAAAAACAAATGTAATAATAAAAAAAATACTTTTATTTGACAACACATATATTAATGAAATAATAAAAAAACACTTTAAGAAGATATGTACATATAAAACATCAAAATAAAATAATAAAAAAAACTCATTTAAAAGAACATATTTACATAGAAAAGAAAAAATATAAAACATAAAATCTGTTTTATAAAAAGATAAAACATTCATCTGTTTCTCGGCAAACTCCACCAAACATCCACTGCTGAGGTAAAACTCTCCCCACATGATTTTTTTGTTTAGAAATAAGACTTGTCTACTTCAACCACTTTGCCAGGTCCTCCAATTTTTTTTCTTGGCCTGTATAACATGTCATGGGCACAAACCTCTCTTAGACATTTCTTCCACGTTACCATAGCTCCGTAGGATAGTTTCAGCTGCAGTTTCAGCTGCTCCCCACTTCATCATTGTCAAGCTATGAGACCACCCATAAATCAACTTTAAAGCTGTTAAAAATGAAATCCTCGAGCCCTCCAACCATGTTCCTTTCCTTATTGAAAGTTTTGTGTCATAAATCCTACGAAAGCATCTCCATTTGGCCTTCCTGGTTAACTTCATTCGATGACCTCATTCACACAATTTCACGTCGGCAAGTACCCCAACATTTTGAAAATATTGAATTGCCTGTTCTTCTGAAGGCAGCAAATCCCATATTCTAAGAAGATCCATAATATGACGAAAATAAACGGGAAAAAAATGAAAAATAAACACAATGGGGCCACAAACTAAAAAAAAAATGTAAAATAAACACAAACGGGCCAAAAACTAAAAATAATGAAAAATAACACAAACGGGCCAAAAGTAAAGAATTTAATAAGTGAACGTAATAAGGGAATAACTGAAAACTAAACAATGCAATAACTCAAAGGTTTAGCAGGATAAGAAGAGGGAGGTTATGTGACGTGACGTTAGATAAGAAGTGAGGTTTCAGTCCGTCCCGCTAGACAAAAAGTACCACAAAAACAAATATAATAATAAAAAATACTTTTATTTTACAAGATATATATTAAATAGGCCAAAACATTATACATATATAATGTTAAAACATTAAAACATATATATATAAATAAATGAAATAATAAAAAAACACTTAAACAACATATGTACATATAAAAGGAAGACTATAAAGAACATATGTACATATAAAAGAAGCAATATAAACACGATAAACAAAGTATGTACATAAAAACAATTTTATTTTAACTTAATTTATTTTGGTAGGGAAAATAGTTTTATGCTATTTAAAATAGCGAGGAAGGAGTCATCTTCTCTGTGAGCCCGCTGCCAGAAACACTAACATAAATATGAATTTAGGTGTTGTCTGGCAGTTCCTCTATGTTTATTTCTCCATTTTATTTTTATTTCTCTCTATATTTTTTTTCTTCTTCTGAAGACGGCAATTGGGACAATGTAACAACATCCATAATTTTACTAAAATAACACGAATTCACAGCTTACACGAGGAACAAAAAATAAACAATGGAATAACTTAGACGAGATGAGAAGGGAGGTTATGTGATATAAGATTAGATAAAAAGGGAGGTTTCGACCTGACCTGCTATTTAAGAAGTACCAAAATTTCAACCAGGCCTGATTCGAAACAGCATCGCTAGACTTGATAATGCTGAAGTTTGCACTTTAACACGCTTGGCCATCACAGCCTTAAATTCGAACAATCTGTGTGCATCGTTCTGAAATATTTCTAGCTGTACTTTTCTTATCTTGGTGGGTCTTTAGATATAGAATAGTAACTCGTCATTAGCCCTCATAAGACCGAAGAAATCCTGTTTTAAACCTAAATCCTTGTGTAGAGTGGTAGGATTAAAGTAACAAATTTCTCCTTCACTAACCCATGATATTTTTAATTTCACTTACTTATATATGATTTATATAGTAAAGAAAAATATTAGCATCACGAAAATTTTTGAATCTGAGTTTTCAACAGAAATACATACTTTGAGATCTCCTTTGTCCAAATAACCAAGTCTCACAAAATAGTCTGTGTATGTGAACAGTCTAGCTCAAACACAAAAAGTTGTTTTTGTGAAACGGAAATTGTGTATTTAATGTTTGTATATGGCTGGAATGTTGTAGCTACTTTTTCTTCAAAATCGGCTCACTGTAAGTGCCTCTCTGTGTCATTGATTAAACTCATTTGGTCAATATATTATTAAGTGGTTTTAATTTAAGATAGGTTTTATCCTCATCAATGCAGGGCTTAAATGGAGAATTTTCAAAATCTCTTCCTCTTGTACTTGTGATTTTGTTTATTTGAAATAATTAACCACTTCACATTATAACCTGGAATAAAAAATGGTTAAATATAAACTATGAAAGAATTTGATAATTAGCTTCTTTCTCCTTCTCTCCCTCCCTTTTATAAAAAAAAAAAATAAATAAAAAAAAAATTAATTCAATGAATTGATGAAAAGTGGCTTGAATTTAGAAGTTCACAGTCTTGAGATCCTTGAATTATACTTGGATTTTTATATGTTATATTACTGAACACCATGAATAACCATTTATGTTATTACATTATATTGTTTAGATTCTTAAAGCATTCTTTATTCAATTAAAACTTATTATGAACTCTTGTATGCTTATTTTAATCAAAAACTGATATTTTATAATTTTAATAACTATCCTTTGATTATTTTCAGTTATGGATGTTACTTTCTCCCAGGAATACTCCAGGGAAATTATTGGACATTATTTATTCATCCTCAGTTCATGATTTTGACTATAACGTTCCATCTGAAAGGTAAAGCAATTTTTTGTCTACAGTTTATTAAATATATTAAAGGCTATATAATATATAAGTTTTTTAATTTTATATTTATGATAACTATTTAATTTTATAAAATTTTAGGAAAAATAAATAAATATTTCTTTGTTTCAATAATGATGTTCTTCAAATAAAAATTACCATGTAAGAAAATTATTTAGTAATAGGCAAGTTCAAATCTATTGTTAGGCCCTCGAAGATTTCAATTTCTGTAATATTTGATTATATAAGAAAAATGTGTGTAAATGAACTGGTTCAAAGATAATTGATTATAAGTTCTTATAATAATGATAAATATGTCGATAAAATAAAATGAAAAAAACAATAGTTAAAAAAAATTATTATATATATATATATATATATATATATATATATATATATATATAATGTATATATATATATATATTAGGGATGGGTCGGATTGTATGTATCAGATACTTTGTATCTCATACAACCAGTAGATACAACCCAAATGTATCTGATACAGATGCTCACATCGATACAAAATGGTTGTCCAGACATGCCTGATTGAAATAAGAGGAATGTTTAGTTGTGCACAATTCTTTAGAACTATGTATTCATTTATTTTAATTTAATTAAATATTTATTTGTAGATAAATATATTCACGCTTATTTTTTTTTAATCTAATGTTAATTTCAGATATTTTTATCTGATACTCCTATCGGGTATTTTTATCTCATTCTGGTATCATATATTTTTATCTGATACCTGGACTTGTAGTAGATATCCGAGCAGTATGCATACTGGAGCTAGGGCTTGATATCCCAATAATTGTATGGAATATTTTAATCCAACTGTAATTGATTGCTGATCGGGTTTGATATTTTTAATACCTATTTGATACCTAATAAAACATATATTAAATATGTGTACCTATATATATTTTATTCCTTTATTATTATATTTGTTTCTGTAATAAATACTTTACACCATTTTTAAATATAATAGTTCTAATGACTATATAGTTATGTCAGGTAGAATGAAGATATGTACACAATATTTAAACAAAATATGCTTTATTTTTGACAAAAAAATGGAATATATTTAATTTAAAATAAAAATATATCAAATTCATGCAGAGAAAATGTTTTTCTAATAAAAGATTCTAAAGAATTTTGTAACAATTAAAAAAAAATCTTTATAGCTAAGTTTAACATACACAAATATATATATATATATTTATTTTTTTTTCTGTCTGCATTACAAACCATTTCGATCTTTTGCCACCTTAACAAGTCTGCTCCATCTCTACCTGTCATGGGCTATTTCTTTCCATTTATCTGCACGCAGCTGTATTGCATCTTTGTTGATTCTGTCTATCCATCTGCTTTTTGGCCTTTGACGTGGTCATTTGCCTTCTATTAAGGCATTCTTTGTTACGTAGAGGCTTCCAGATGGGTTGCTAAAAGCTACATGCCCCGTTATCTTTATCTCTTTGCCTTCATATCATGGGATATTGATTGACTCATTTGAATTGTACCACTTGAAGGACCTTCTCCTAAATCTTGATTAATTTGGCTGGACACCAAATTGATGATTTTTTTTTTTTTGCTGTTTCGCCCATATTATCGGATGGGAAAGCTATGTTCTTGAATCTGGGATCGAGGAACGTAGCTGTGACAAGGGTTTCGTTTCTCTGCAACTTTCCGAGGCGACCCTCAAGTCCCTCCTTTAATGTATTAATTAATAATTTAACTGATGGTAATTCCAATTAGAAGTCTTAAAATGTAATACTGTTACAGAAAAAAACATTAAAAGCACCAAAATGTAACAAAGCACATTATTAAACTTCTTCATTTTTGCCAATAAAAACTTAAAAGGTATACAAACAATTGGTTTATTTGTTGAATTACATGTCAACTTGATGTTTCGGGAAAATTATTTCCATCTTCAAAACTTAAATTTAAATTCCCAGCAGAAAAGAAGAACTCCTGAAGTCCAGAAACCTGGGACGTTGAGAGTGCAGAGGTACATTTTTTTCGGTCAGAGAAAGATTCACAATAATGCCGGAAGGAGTGCAGTTAAGGCCGGTGGCCCCTCCGAATGTACCAGAAATCCCTCCATTACCATAGGGAACGTTAGCCGCGGCACATGCAAATGGCATAGAATGGATGAAGATCAGGGTAGCCACTTCACAGGACCTGAGGAAGGCTGTATCGGATCTCGAGCGCTTCACAGGAGAGAGTCCGCATACGACGGGAGAGAGAAGCCCGTAGGAGCGGAATGAACACCAGGGCAAAATAGAGCGAGGGCTAGCCAACGGAAAGAAGACAGGAGATGTCATGGCTGTGGGAAGAGCGGACATTTGGTGGCAGTGTCCTCACACGAAATAATTTGAGTGCGGGACAGAGGGACACATTGCGAGCAAATCCTTATTGTATTCGAGAAGAGATCACAATAATAGAGACAATGGAGGTGTTGTTCAAGGTTGAGGAGAAGAAAGATGCTGTCAGGATGAGTGAGTCATCAGGAGATGCTTTCGATGATTCCGCAAACACTGAGACCGAGGAAGACTAATGACCCCAGGCAAGACGGGAAAACGAGTGGAGCAAAGAGGAGGAGAAGCAGTGGAAGAAGTGATGGCGGCCAGCCGATGGAGAGGATATGAAGGAGAGTGTCAGGCGTGAGCGTGACGCACTCTAGTAATTATAACATTCGAGGTATAAAGTGCTAGTTACCTATTAATAGAGGTGAGAGGAGTGCGGTGCTGGTAGACACGGGAGTTCATACCATCTGACGCGTGGTGTGTTGGAAAAGCTGTATGTTATTGGGGAGAGAGGACACTCAATTCAAGGTATGTAATTGTAAGTTATTCACCCTGGTCTGTATGTTTAATCGGGAGGAAACAATTGAAGGACTGGGCAGAAGGTGGGTGACGACTCCAAAAGGCAGTACCTTAAAAAATACTTCCCCACATTGAATCTCGGTTACAGGCGGTGAAATGGGTCCTCCCGGGGACTATTGGGTTTCACATTTCACACGGGGCTTGGGGGTTTCAGAGCTAAAATTTATGGTTTCGGTCGGGATATAGTTCCCCACTGACTCCGCTTGTGGGTGTTCCGGAGACTGTTGAGCATGTGGTCACGGCTGCACTTGCTTTCGACGATTAAGAGCTAGGTTAATGAGAACACCAGGGGGAATTTACGTCCTCACTGATGAGGACGTTTTCCTCAGTTGGTAAGTGAGAAAAAGTCCCGCGGTTCAAAGAGTTTTTTGGCGGTGGGTCCAGCTCACTTCACCTAGATGCTCGCAGATGGTGAAGAGGACAGTCTGGGAAGACCTCCAGATTCGGAGCACGGCCTAATTTTGCTGAAGAATGAGAAAAAGTAGAAGGAGCTAGCTGTTTTTGGATCAGCTTAGAATGTTTTTAAACACATCATGGCAGTGGTGTGTTTTATGCATTATGCTTACATCACAATACGCATACACCCGTGTTGCCGGGTGGCTGCATGGGAGGGTGAAATCAAATAAGAAATTACGCTCTCAGATCACTGTTGAATTTCGGAAATCCATGAAATCGCACTCTAAACTCAACAATTTAAAACAATGGGGAAGTTAGTAAAATCAGCTCTGAGATCACTGATAAGTAGTGTTGTCCAAATGCAAGACCGAGACGAGTCTTGGTGTTGCAAACTCAGTCTTAGTTATGGTCTTGGTCTTGCAGTTACTTATTCGCTTATTACTATAGAGATATTAATGTAATTTTTAGATACGAAAAACCTAACTAAGCCCGAATGAAAAATTAGAGGAGTTAAATGCAAAAGTATATTGGTTATCAATTATTTACATATAGTACCTAAGATTGTCAAGTATTAGTAACTATATTGCCTTAATTTTTATTTTAAAAAATCAATTTTTTTTACCAGTCCTGGTCTTGGTCTTGCAAAAGTTAGGCGCCCTTGGTCGATTTTGGGCAACACTACTGATAAGTATCCGAAATTCATCAAATCGTCCCTAAACACACCAATTTGTAAGTTCCTAATCTCAGTGCTGAGATCATTAATAAACATCTGAGATCCATCAATGGATTAGTGCTGAGTTAAGGAACTACCAAAAATTAAAATTAAGTATGGCAGCCAGGATTGGTAACATTTTAGTTTTAGAACACTCAGTAAAGACGAAGGAGATTGTTTCAGACAGATCGTGAATACCGAATGGAGTAGTGCTGTTGTTAATAGATAGGTAATTTAACAATGGTTTGAAAAAAAATGTTAAAAGTTGTCGCATGTCCGAAATGGTCGAAGAAATAGTACACTTTCACACGTCAACTTTTTTTCTAGTTCCTTTTTTAGCTTACAATGGAGCATTTGGCCAACATGATTCATTTAGTTAGCAGAGGGATATCTCTTTTCAATAACACCTTCGTTCCAAGCTGTAATAATATAATAAAAATATCTGTTCAGTCACCTGGTGTCCTTCACCGACCAATCGCAGGTCATTGTTCGTCCTTCTTACTACGTTAATGTTACCTTGTTACTTCTACTTACAAGTAGTGTGGAGTAGAAGGCGAAGTGGAGATAGGATTGGGGAGGTGGGCAGCCAAGGGAGGTAACCTTACGGTGCATGTGGTGGGAGAAATTCCCTGGGAATACCAGGTAATTATAGGGTGTGATATGTTGAGGAAGGTGGGCTTGCGAATCGCAAATAGAAGAAAGGAGTGGAGAATAAAAATAGAGAATATCAACTATACAAGCAGGGCAGCATATAGGAGCTATAAGTCGAGCCGAGGATTGGAGAGTAACCGTGAGAAGGAAGTTCGAAGACATTCTCTTTAAGGAGGGGAATACATTGGGGGTGACGGGTAGAACGGTGCACGAGATCCCGTTAAAGCACGAAAAGGTGAGCTATGTGAAAGAGAGGAGATATCCGCAGGCTCTTCGCCAACACATTAGGGAAGAGTTGCAAAGTTTTAAGAAACAGTATAATTGTTGATAGCACGTCGCCATACAATAGTCCGCTATGGGCAGTAAAGAAGAAAAGTGCATCCGGAGAGAATAAGGAGTAATACCGAGTAGTAATTGATTACCGCAAATTGAATGAAAATACCATAGATGAAAAATATCCAATCCCGAAGTTTAAAGACATTTTAGATAGGCTAAGCGGGGCAATGGTATTTAGTACTCTGGACTTAAAAGCGGGATACCACCAAATTAGAATGCTCCCGAAAGACCAGTCGAAGACAGCGGTAACATTCGAGAGGGGGCACTATGAATTTACTAGGATGCCGTTTGGTCTCAAGAATGCCCCTATAACATTCCAGCGGCTGATGGAGGAGTTTCTAAGGGGGATTGATGAAGGGGTATGTCAAATCAACGCGTGCATACCGACCATAGACCCCTACAATGGGCAGGCAAGCTGAAAGAGTCCTCGGCTAGAGTCACTCGCTGGAAGGAGTTTTTGAACCAATACAATATGGATATCGTGTACAAACCTGGGAAAGAGAACGTGGTGGCAGATTGGCTATCAAGAGCAATAACTATAAATGCCTTAGAGGAGGATACGGAAGAATCGTCCAGAGATGTGAGACAATTCTTGAGTGAGTGGACGCCAGAGGAAGAGGGAGGACAGGCTGTAGAAGGAGGTGAGGATGGGGATGATTTCCAAGAAGAGGGGAGCCCAGCGGAAGAGAGATCAGCGGACATGGAAGAGCTGGAAGAAATTATTAATGACAAAAACCGCCAAATAATCTGGAAGACCAGTACTACCGGCCTAATGAAGGTGCAGTATGGTAAGTACGGAAACAGCAGGATAACGACTATTTGATTACAGCCAGGAGCGAGGGAAGATCAGATTTGCAGAGCACTGAAGGACGCGTCCAAACCAGGGAAAACGCACCACTTGTACGTAGGGAACGAGACAATCTGGGAAAAAATAAAGAGAATATGGCGATCTGAACAAATAAGGCTAGATAGAACGTTCATTCATTTTAAATTGATGGTGGACACAGTGCGGGACGAGGAATGGCAGAGGGAAGTGACTCTTGCTTACCATCAGGGCAAAACTAATCACCGTGGAGCGCAAGAGACATTCTAGGCGTTACGTCGTAGATATTTTTGGTAGGGTATGAGGAAAACAATATAGGAACTCATAGTGGCGTGCGAGGTTTGCTTGAATATGAAGTACGATAGACACCCACCAAGAACAATGCAAGAGGAGACACCCACAGTCGATGCACCGCTGAGTGATTTGCAAGCAGATACATTCACGTGGAGAGGGTATAAGTGGGTCACGGTGATAGACCTGTTTAGAAAAGCAGCGATGGCGTACCTGGTGCAGAATCGATCAGCAGAGACAGTATTAGGAGCCCTTCAGACGTGGTTCCAGTTTTATGGAGTGCCCGACCGCATAACGTCCGACGGGGGTAGGGAATTTGACAATGCCAAGATCAGAGCGGAAATGAAGAACTTAGGTGTGAAGTGGCATCTCAACACTCCAGGGCACCCCAAGAGCAGGGGGAGTATAGAGAGACTGCACAGTACTCTCAGTGACCATCTAAGAGTATGCCAGGTGGAAAAAGGGCTGGAACCAGACACGGCAATGCGGAAGGCAGTGGCAGCGTATAATCACTCCATACATACTGCTACGGGGTTCTCACCATTCGAAATTCTCTTCGGATTATACGGGCGGCGATGGGACTGTGGGGGCACAGCTGCGGACAGGGAGAATGATTAATAATAGAATGGAATTGGGCAATCTATGGGAGAAAGTTAAGTACTATGTTCAAACACGAATACCACTAACAAGTTATCAAGTTCTTGTCACTTCAACTTTTGAACTTCTAAAAGGTATAGTATAACTAAAACTGGATTATTGATGCTAATAAAATCCTGCTGAGTATTCTTCTCTGTTATATTCTGTTAATGATGACTAATTATATTTAACCCATAACCAGCATGATTAATAATAGAATGGAATTGGGCAATCTATGGGAGAAAGTTAAAGGAAAAATAGAGAGGGAAAAGTGCAAAAGAGTGGCGCTGGAAAATTTAAAAGTGAAGGAGGTAACGGGATGATTGAAAAAAGGGTCCATTGTTTATCGCAGGTTAGGCTCTAATAGGGGGAAGGAATTGCGGAGATATGAGGGCCCATTCAGGGTGATAATCATTATGGAGCACAATGTTGTGACTATTGAGAGTGTCAAAGAACCGAAAAAAAGAAGGACGGTTCACATAGAACAGTTAAAATTCCCAATTTCAGAACCAGAGCAACCGTAGAATTGAAGTGCCCTTGTCTCTGGAAACAAGAATTTTTTTTTGTATTGTAGCTATAGAGGTTATTTTATTTTAGTTTTTGTTAGTGTGTATATAGCATAACTTGGTGTATGTATATGAGGAAAAGTGCAGTGCAACACTGAAGTGTATTCCATCGACGGAGTTAATTTGTGTTACAAATGTAAAAGAAAAGTGTATTTTATTTTTTATGTTTTATTTTATATCGAACATTTTTTTTGTGTTTTGTAACTACTGAACAGTCCGTACCTTTGCTGCAGTGAGTGCAAGAATATCATGTAGTTTTTATATATATATATATATATATATATATATATATATATATATATTTTATTTATTAATTTTTTTTTTTTTTTGTTTACTTGTATTAGTAGTAAGTTTACGAAGATTATCCGTAAACTGGTGGGGGGAGTTAAGGTACGGAGCGGGACAGTATTAGTGTTGATACCAAAAGCATTGATGTAAACAATCTCAGAATGTATATATAGAGGATTAGAAGGAACAATAAACCAGTCTTGATTTCGACTTCATGTGTTTTATTCCTTGAACCTATTACTTTTTTAAAAGTGTTTTAAGTCCGCTACGCTTAACTTTATATATATAATATATAATAAAACTTTTTTTTATTCAGAGATATTTACATTGCACATCTAACAACTGTGACTTAATGGACTGTATAACAAAAAAAAATGACCGTTTCGTCAAATACATGAATCCCTAGAACTGTTGATCACAACACGTTGATTCTATTTATTGTTTACCAACAATAAATTTCTCTTTAGAGCACTAATCTAAGCTTATTTGTTCACAATGGACTGGCCCAATGAAGCGCTAGTTCAAAAGTTTTCAGTGTTCAGTTTCAGAAAAATTTAGAATGTTATTTTCATATTTTGGTCTAGAAAAAAAAGTGGTATAGCAAAATTAAAAAAAAAATAATTTGATCAGTTTATAACATGAATGTGACCAGAAATATAATTATTAAAAATTACTTAATTATTGTATCTTATTATATTTTTCTCACTGTATGAACTATTGTAAAAGCAGATTTTCTAAATGTTGTATATTTGTAATGTTTCAGAACATTATCTGATATTTCACTGCCAAGCTCCACCAAAAGGAATGGAACTCTCTTTCTAATCCTATTCTTTTTACCTCAGAAGTTTAACATAAAGAAATGGAATGATATTCTTTCAAATCCATACTATGTTCAAACACGAATACCACTAACAAGTTATCAAGTTCCTGTCACTTCAACTTTTGAACTTCTAAAAGGTATGATATAACTAAAACTGGATTATTGATGCTAATAAAATCCTGCTGAGTATTCTTCTCTGTTATATTCTGTTAATGATGACTAATTATATTTAACCCATAAGCAGCATTTAGCATAATGCAGTTCTATAAATAATACATATGTTGTTCTATTTTAAATATTTAATTTCAAATTATCACATTTCTCTAAGGTCAAGGTTAAAATTAAAAAAGGTAATCCTAAAATTAATTGATTTAGAAACTGAACTACAGATGGAATCATTGGATGTGCAGCTCATAAGAAAGATTTGCTGTGAAGAATATTTTGAAACATATGTAAAATGAAATGAAAATACCTTTATTATTCTGGGACTAGCGTCCCTTTAAAACAAATTATAAATGCAAAATACAAATAAACATATTGGTGTGTCCATAACTTAAATTAAATATTTACAAGCTAATTGGTAAAAATCAGGTAATAAAGAGAAATAAAAAATACATAAATAAATATAAAATAAACAGAGAAAGATAAAATAAAATAAATAAACAAAATAGTTGATTAGGGGGTACTTAGAAAGTCTAACGACTTAGACTCTTATGTGGATTTCATGATGAAGTGGATTGGGAATGAAATTGGTCCTTAAAGAGGAGAGATTTAAAAGAGGGACTGACTATGCCCGTCGAATATCGGGAGGGATAGAATTCCAGATGAAGACGACTTAAATTATAAAAGATTTCTCAGACGCAGTAATTTGGTGAGGAGGAGGATAGAGGTCGGACATACGGCATCTGGTGGGACAGGATTGAATGGAGGATTTAAATTGTAGGCTCTGTAGAATATAGGAGGGTCACTGAGATCTAATAAACTGTTATAGGAAGATAGCAAGGAAGTACGACGACGGTGGGACGGATAGAGCCACTTCAACTCTGTGTAATACTGGGTAATATGTGTATCTATTGAGATCCTGAAAACAGATTATTTATTAATATAAACAATTCATGAGACGTTTAAGTTTAGCTTTGAGTTCTCCCGAGAGTCTGGCATTTGCTACACAGCCATAATCAAAGTGGGGGAAAACAGTGTGCAGCTTAGAACTATCATAGACTGAATATGAGGGATGAAATAAATTATGTTCATTGATTAAATTTTAATTGACAAATTAAATATAATTGAGGACTGAAAGATGTATTGAAGAATTGATTGGATGTTCTTCCATTAACACTAGTATCTTTGTAGGTTTCTTTAAAAAATAACAATAATAAATAAATGATATGATAATCATGAATATGATTATAAATGATATGCAGTACATGGCTAATTAAAATACTATGTAGAAAGTATAAACGTAGGATCCGGATATATTTACTGTTTTTAATAGATACATTATTTGGAATGTTCCAGGCTTTGTGCATGTAATCTTACTCTTTTATATCCATCCAGTTAAGAAAAATATTGAAGGAAGTTAGTCGACTGTTCTACATATCATGGGTGATAAATATTCAGGACGCAGTCATTATAAGGTTTTTATTAGTGCTGATGTTTCAACCCTAACATGTGGGCCACCATCAGAGCGTGGTTCGAGCACTGATGATGATCCACATGGTTAGGGTAACCTTATAATGATTGGGTTCTGAATATTTATCACCCATGTTAATAAAAATAATATATAGTATAAATACAATATTGAAGAAAAAATTAACGACCAGAGGAGCAGTGTGGGTTCAAATAGTTTTTTAAGGAGAAATAAAGTTTGATTCATATTTTACACCTTAAAAAATCCTTAAATACGGATTTTCATAGTAATCAAAAAATAAAAATCTTTTGCTCAAAATTTTTGTCTTGATTGGAGCCTTTGATTTTTATTTTTGGAAATTACAAAAACTGTGGTAACTTCAGCATGACTCCATTTGTTCACAAAAAAACTTTTAATGGATTTAGAGCTCTGTAAACTACACATAATCCGTAAACAAATTGAACTTGTGATATAAAATCAAAATGTTTGAGGAGAATGCCTTATTGAATGGCAGGAGAAAAATCATCAATAAAATCAAGTCCAAAAATTTAATTTTGTTTATTTCAATACTCATTCATATTTAACAGTTTTAATTAAAAGACACTTGAAAGGATTCTGAATTTCCAAAGGAGATGAAAATATTTTTAAACACATAAGTATTATTGCCGCTTGGCCAAAAGTTCTTTGACACATACCGTCAGGTTACTCAAGGCACTATTATTTGACTTTACAATTCTTAATTTCTAATAAACTCAAATTTTATTATTTAAATAAAAGCTAAAGAGCTTTGACTTTAATCAATATATATATGTATATATATATATATATATATATATATATATATATATTTTTTTTTTTTTTTTTTTTTTTTTTTAATTTAGATTTATCTACACCTCTATCGAGCCCCAACAAGAAGGTCAGTCAGGTTTTAGCCCCGATTCCAAAGGGGACCCAGCATGTATCATCAAGCCTTAACTCAAGAATGCATGTTTTGTTATTAAATATACGATTATGTTTATATATTGCTTTTTCATCTAGATTAAGGCTTTCATCGTTGAATTAAAAATGTTTTTTTTCTCATCTTAATGTTCTCATCTTAATCATAACGTTAAGTCTACTTTGATTTAGAGGATGAAATTCTAACATACGAGTAAATAAGCATTTCATATATTAATATCATATAAAATAAAAATTATGATTCATGCTTGTATAAGGCATTATATACACAATTTTACTCTTTTAGAGTTTTTACTGTACGAAAATCTGGTCTCTAATATAACCTATAAATCCATGCACAGTAAAGGAAGAAAAGAATAATATAAAACAATGTTAAAATTATATAAAATAGTTTTTTCTCGGCTCCTGTGGTGCATTGACAAGATCATTCTGCAATTGTTTACTTTCACTTACGTATATATGTAATATATAGTAAGGGTAAGTATGGCGATCGTGAAAATTTTCGGATCTCAGTTTTCAACAGAAATACATGTTTTGAGTTCCCCTGAGTCCAAATAACCAAGTGTTGCAAATTGGTCTGTGTGTATGTGTTAACAGTCTAGCTCATAAACGAAAAGTAGTACGAAACTGATATTAAGTATTTAAGATTTGTATATGAGCGGGATGTGACAGTAACTTTTTCATTAAAATCGTCTAACCAGAAGTGCCACTTTATATGAACGCTGAAACACATTTTTTTGGCCTAGTGTCACAAACAAAATTCATTAAAATCGATGATCCTATGTCTGTAGTATCCCTTTGTAAGAGATGCAAATTATCTTTATTAAAACTTTTACTCATAATTAGTAACATCTTCCCCAAGCAATGTTATTTAATTTTTTCAGGGGGAAAATCAATTGGTCATAACGAACGACCAGTGAGCCATTTGAAGTCTAAGATTGGCTTTAATATATTGACAGATATTAAATCTTTTCCACATAATGATTTTCCAGCTGAACTATATCCCTATATAGAGTAAGTAATGTTTTGCAATAAGTATTGTAAGATTTTGAATTAAGTATTGAATATTGAAGCAACACTGCAAAAGGAATACAAACTAAAAACGTTATCAAAACATTACATATTTGTCTTAAGCATGCAGTAATAGTCTGTGGGCCAGACCCCCTTACCGTGCACCCCCCCCCCCCACATCCCTATAAATTGCATATCGTTGTATTCCTTGTAACTATTTATTAAAAAAAAAGCCAGTGTTCCCACAAAAAAAAGTGAACGCACTGCCCCAAAATGGCGTCCAAACATGGCGGATCGACGACTTTGACTTTAGTTAGTTTTTTGGTCACTGAGAATTAGCATTTGGGTTAATTTCCTCATAGTTGGTCTTTTATTAAAGCTGAATAGTTAGAGAATAATAAATCATAAAGAAATATTAAAAAATAATTGGCTTAGGCTATGAAAACCACCAGCAAAGTCAATTTATTTAACAAAAAAATTTTCAAGTTACAAATCAAGCGGCTTACAATAACGCAAAACGTGCTGAAATAAACCATCTGGAGAATATATTTCTCTTTCTAAAACGCTGAATATTTTTTACAAATGTTTAAGCAGTTCCGTAGAAAATGAACTTTTGCGGCAGAAAAGCGGTACTGGCGCGGGTTCCTACAGGCCTCTACCACACCATTCAGTGCCCATAAATGGCTTACTTATAGTGATATAATAACATTTTTGGTACATTATATTGGTTTTATTAACGAACAAATATTAATGCAATAATTTAATTGCAAAAAAAAAACTTTAAATTTAAAAATAAAATTTAATATTTTTTTTTAAATTTAACCTCGTTTATTCTATATGTAGTTCATTTAAGAAGACCTCAATTGTAAAAATGATATAATTATAATAATAAAACTTAATTAAAAAATACTTTGCTAAATATCTTGATTTTTTTTTATTTAACGTTTGCAATTTAACACTGTGTTTTGTATATTTACTGATTCTTAGAAGTAATTAAAATTTTTATATACTTCCCAGGAAATGAGTCATATTAATACCTGTTTTATAAACTAAAATAATATATACCTAATCTGAACTATATATAATGAATAGCTACCGGGTTGTTTAGTAAAACACATATATCACTATTTAAAAAATTAATTTTTATTTCCTTTATTTTGTGCAGAAGTTGGACTATATCATAAATAAATAGGAAATTTTAATATTGAATGAATTATTCTCTATGCACAAAGAAAGATAGAAGGGGTGATGCTATAAGTTCTTCTATAAACCAAAACTGATTGTTTGGATTTGATCTCAAAATGAGGAAAAACGTGAACTTAAATGAGAAAATTGGAAAAATACATTAAGCGAACGAGAAAGGAAGTGCCAAAACCTCGGAATAGATAAAAAGGACCAGTATCCATTATATAGCTAAATGAATGTATAGTAGATAGATGAACAGAATATTTCAAGATGCTGCTAAAACGGGATCAATTGCAGTTTGGATGATATTAAGTGGACGATGTAGGTTTATTATGGTGAAAACCACTTTATTTTCGATTGCTGAAGGTGCACATCGGGACTATATTAACTTTGAAGCAGGATATAGAGAGGTATATCGAGAAAGTTATAGCTCATAGCTTTCCTTCTGTTTAGTGCATTTGCAAAAGATTTTTAAGGAATCTTATATTAGTTATAGCTCGTTATTGTTCAGAAATTGCGGAATAAATTGTTCGGAATTTTTACCATATCATAAAAAAATAGGAAATTTTAATATTGAATGTATTATTCTCTCTGCACAAAGAAAGATGGAAAGGGCGAAACCGAACTGCTTTGACAGTTTTGCGCGTACATAGGCAACAAGCATATTAGAAAATAATATGAAAGGACTGTGGTTTTTACCTTTACAAGAAAGGAGGTACTACGAAATGTAATACCCATCAAGATCCATTCCTGTTTAGTTTACCAAACAAATTATACTCAAGAATCGTAGAAGCTGGAATAAGAAATATTGTCGATTACAAGAGTGATATGGATTGAGAAACTCAAGTTGCACATTGGAAGAGAAGTTGAAAATTGGGACTGTCTTCACTTTAAGGCAGGTTATAGAGAAGTCCACATAAAAAGAAAAATAGCTCTCTATCTGCTTAGTGCCTCACACTTTGGATTATGCTAATATCTAACTGTCTTTCAGAAAAGCTCGTTTTCCTTTCAGATTCCTTAAAAAATCTTTTGCAAATGCACTAAACAGAAGGAGATGAGCTATAACTTTCTCGATATACCTCTCTATATCCTGCTTCAAAGTTAAGATAGTCCCGACGTGCACCTTCAGCAATCGAAAATAAAGTGGTTTTCACCATAATAAACCTACATCGTTCACTTAATATCATCCAAACTGCAATTGACCCAGTTTTAGCAGCATATTGAGATATTCTGTTCATCTGTCTACTATACATTCATTTAGCTATATAATGGATACTGGTCCTTTTTATCTATTCCGAGGTTTTGGTACTTCCTTTCTCGTTCGCTTAATGTATTATACGCGTTTTTCCTCATTTTGAGATCAAATCCAAACAATCAGTTTTGGTTTATAGAGAACTTATAGGGTCACCCTTTCTATCTTTCTTTGTGCATAGAGAATAATTCATTCAATATTAAAATTTCCTATTTATTTATGATATAGCCCAACTTCTGCACAAAATAAAGGAAATAAAAATTAATTTTTTAATTAATGATATATGAGTTTTACTAAACAACCCGGTAGCTATTCATTATATATAGTTCAGATTAGGTATATATTATTTTAGTTTATAAAACAGGTATTAATATGACTCATTTCCTGGAAGTAAATAAAATTTTTAATTACTTCTAAGAATCAGTAAATATACAAAACACAGTGTTAAATTGCAACGTTAAATAAAAAAAAAATCAAGATATTTAGCAAAGTATTTTTTAATTAAGTTTTATTATTATAATTATATCATTTTTACAATTGAGGTATTCTTAAACGACCTACGTATAGAATAAAGGAGGTTAAATTAAAAAAAAATAATAATAAATTTTTTTTTAAATTTAAATTTTTTTTTTTACAATTAAATTATTGCATTAATATTTGTTCGTTAATAAAATCAATATAATGTACCAAAAATGTTATTATATCACTATAACTAAGCCATTTATGGGCACTGAATGGTGTGGTAGAGGCCTGTAGGCACCCACGCCAGTACCGCTTTTCTGCCGCATAAGTGCATTTTCTACGGAACTGCTTAACATTTTTTAAAAAATAATCAGCATTTTAGAAAGAGAAATATATTCTCCAGATGGTTTATTTCAGCACGTTTTGCCTTATTGTAGGCCGTTTAATTACAAACGACGCTTGATTTGTAATTTGAAAATTATTTTGTTAAAAAAATTGACTTTGCTGGTGGTTTTCATAGCCTAAGCCAATTATTTTTTAATATTTCTTCATGTTTTATTATTTTCTAACTATTAAGCTTTAATAAAATACCAACTATGAGGAAATTAACCCAAATGCTGATTCTCAGTGACCAAAAAACTAACTAAAGTCAAAGTCGTCAATCCGCCATGTTTGGACGCCATTTTGGGGCAGTGCGTTCACTTTTTTTTGTGGGAACATTGGCTTTTTTTTAATAAATAGTTACAAGGAACACAACGATATGCAATTTATAGGGATGTGGGGGGGGGGGGTGCACGGTAAGGGGGTCTGGCCCACCGTGTATAAAAATTGAATGGAAAATGTTGTTCATGGAACAGGAAATACCCGGTTTATTTTGTCTTATGAATTATGTCAATTTTCCCACTTAATGGCATTTGCAGCGTGGCTATTGATATATCCCTTTGCTATTATTATCACAATTCTTCTTCTACTATTCATGCAGCATAGACAAAGTTGAAATTCTTTTCTGGTTCTCTTCTGTTCTAATCCAATTGCCCCTCTCTTTGAAGCTGCCTTTCCTCTCTTTTCCAGATGGTTTGAGATCTTCCCCTGAACTGTCACTCATCAACTCATTTGTTATACATATTTTTCCATCCTTAAAATGTAACCAAGCCCACCCTTGATGTTAATGATTTCATTTACATTTTCTGTTGGCTCTTTCTTTAGTCAACTTAACTAAAGTTCAATTACTCGCCAGTTTATGAATCTAATAAAATCCTTAATTAAGTTGAGACAGAATTCAGTTCTATTCTTGCTATAAAAAATTTGCTTTAAAATTTTTCTCTTTTTAGAGTGAAATGTACAAAGAAGCCTTTGTGTTGACCCCGAACCAAAATCCTGATAGTGTCAGCTTACTGGATGCTGTTATCCAGCAAAGTTAAGACGCTTCATGTATAGTTAATCAACCTATACTTGAAGTTAAACAAGTACAGTTATTACCAATTGGTGACTGGTATTTTAATACATCTTGTCAACAGTTGTGAAACTACTTGATTTTGAATCTACTGTATTTATTTATTTATTTTTTAATTTAAGCTGTCTTCCATTTTCATTATATATAGATCCAGTCAATATTTTGATACATTTTCCTCATCTTCATTATCTTTCCATGACATAATTTTTATATTAGCTGTTAACATATCATCCTCATTGTTTTCTATTGTGATGTAGTAGACATATATAATTATCTTTTTACAGTCAAAATTTAAAATTTCCACCATGAAGGTTATTTACATGCTTAATTCATTATCACAACACTATTATCTATTTATTTATGTTCCATTATTTGTATATAATAAACAATAAATAATAAAACTGTGAGACTTTTCACATTTTAATTATAAATAGAGTAATAAATCTTCCTGAAATCATATAACTATTATTGTAAAGAACTTATTTTGTTAAGTAAATCTTGAAATGATCAATTTGTACCTATAGTTGTCTCAATCACTTGTATTTAATATTAAAACTATTGTCAATGTTATGATGTGAATAATATTACTTTATGCTGTCTATTATATTTTTGATCATACATTTCAATGTTTTGTAGACTTACCAAGGAAAGTGAAATTTTACCTTTAATTCATCATGACTTTCTTGATGACCGCCTTAGTAATTTAAATCCTATTATGGAAAATGATACAGTTGAAATTATTATGAAATACTCTCCTATCAACATTGGAAAATTAAGGTAAGAAAACTATTTTATTAAATATTCAAAAACTTATTCTGTCTTCTTTTTTTTATCTATCTTTTTTTTTGGGGGGGGGCACTTTTTCTTTCCACATTACACCATTGAGGAGACCAATTAATTATCTTTTTCCTCTTTATTATTTAATTTTCATTGTCCCTTTGCTCTCTTTTGAATATATCAATTATCACCACAAGATACATGAAAACAGTACTTTTTGATAACATCCAGTTCTTCATGCAGAGAGTCAAAATAGGCAAATTAAGAAGTATTTATTCCATTTTGTCAGTAGTTATGTTCAGACACCACTGTACATATATCTCAATGCGTTTCCTCATCTTAAATTCCAAATCTCACTCATCTGATGTAGTATGACCACCTGGTCGTCATCCACAAACTGAAGGGTGAATAGGATATCATTATCAATCTCATCACCCATCCATCCATCAACACTTCTATTTCCATGATTTCAGTGTTTGTTCTGTAGTAGTTTTACATTTTATATTCAATCCAATCTCCCGAAATTACAGCTAGAAACCATTTTAAATTATAGATAATCCTCACCTGAATACACTACTCCGGTCAGTCACTTGAAAGCCATTGCTTTATATAAGATAATTTAAATCATAGTGGCGAAATTTGATGTTTCATTTAACAAGAAAACTGAAAGCTAAAAATTTGATGAGATGTATAATATTTTCCCCTAAGAAAGAAAACATTTTGACTGCCAGTCTACGTAGATGTGTTTCGAAAACTGACGGGTGCCAAAGTTACTAATTTTTACAGTGCATTTAACGGAAGGACTTTAGTTTGGAACTCGGCTCAAAATACACAGCGAACTAATCTAAAATAGAAATCGAGATGACTGTTGACGTAGGTTGTTGCAATTTTAAAACTGACTCAAATTTTTAAATTGGGTTGAAATCATTCAACGAAAAATCTTATGGCAGAAAGGAGTCATGTTTGACAAATAAGACAATAATGAAGTGAAATCATACCAACTGACCGCTTAAATCGGTTGCAATAAGATGAAACTTTTCAGAAAAAAAAAAATAATAAATCCGCTAAATCAAAGCAGCCACTTAAAGTAGACCAAAATAAACAAACTAAAACAAACCCTAAAAATAATTCAACCATGAAAGCTGAAACTAAACCACCTACTAGCACATCCAGCAACAATTCTGTTGTCGCCAATAATAAAAATATCGAAATTACTCAGACTTTCACTGAACCAGAGCCACCACCCATATATGTTAGCAAAATTGAAAACTTCATTCAAAGTCAAGAATTAGCTAATCTAATCGGACCGACCAATTTCCGTTGCTTTTCTCGTATCAACGACATAAAAATCAATACCAACACCAAAGATGACTATAAAAAACTTATAAATCACTTAACATCACACAGTTATGACTTCCACTGCTACCAATTAAAAGAGGAAAAAACATATAGGGTCGTTTTGAGAGGTCTTCACTCAACCACTCCCACTACCACTATAAAAAAAGAACTCGAAGATATAGGCCACAATGTAAGACATATATCTTCTGTTTTACATCCAATCGATAAATACCCACTTCCATTATTTTTTATCGATTTGGAACCAGCCCAGAATAATTCTGAGATCTTCGAAGTTAAAAGGCTACTTTATTCAATAGTAAAATTTGAAGAACCGAGGCAGAAACCAATAGTCGTGAAATGCACCAAGTGTCACACAAAGGCTTACTGCTATCACTCGGCGCGGTGTGTCAAATTTGCCGGCTCTCACGCCTCTGACATATGTCAGAAACCATTGAATGAACCAGCAAAATGTGTCCTTTGTGGTGAGGACCACCCTGCAAGCTATCGCGGATGCATTGTTTACAAGAAGCTATACAAGCAAAGGACTTATAACATATTTTTAAAAACCCAAGAACAGAAGAATCCTATCCAGGCAAAAGCACCCTGGATAGGATTCAGAGGCAATTCAGGAAAAGTTTGGCAACGTTTCCTGAATTGGCGAATGAAATAGCACCACGATTTACACAACAGCCTTCTACATCAACAAATCATCCCTATCAGGACTCCAGACAACTATATTCTGACTCCACACTGAAGAATCAGCAACCGAGACGTCAGACGCCTCTGTCTTCCAAACCTAAGACCCAGGCTTCCAAACCTAAGCTCCAGACTTCCCAATCCAAGACTCAGACCTCCCACATGCACTCAAAATCACCACGTCAGTCAATCTCTCCTTATCAGATACCTCTACGTGTCAAACTACTGCCTGAAGATCCAATTCCAGTTCATTCCCATCCTATTCATCACATTAACTCTCCTTCCCAAATTCCATCTAATTATGATTCAGCCTCTCGTACATCACGACTGGTACATCATCCATCAGACACTCCTTATCATAAGAGCTATCCCTCACAAATTCCAGCTGACCAACAAAACCCGATCGACTTAATCCAATCCACCCTTGCCTCCTTCCTGAAAGATCTCCAAGATACCATCAAGCCACTAATAACCCTCCTCACAAGAATCCTTACTGAAATTCCTTTTAATCTCCCACGATGAGCACAAAGCCCTTAGCTGTTCTTTTATGGAATGCTAAGGGACTACAAAACCACCGAGACAATATGATTATAACTTGACATTTTTCTTCATGACAAACACATTGATATTGCTCTACTGACAGAAACTCACTTCACTCAACGTTCATATTTCTACATACGTGACTACATCACTTATAGATCAGACCACCCTGACAACACTTCCCATGCCGGTTCTTGCATCCTTATCCATAAATCCTTATCCCATTCCCTCATTCCTTCTACTCCAACTGAGGCTATTCAAGCAACCTCGGTTATCATTTCAACTCGTCCTTTCCATTTAACACTTTCAGCTGTATACTGTCCTCCTAGTCATATTCTTACCTATAATCTGTTTGAATCCTTATTCCAATCCTTCGGATTGCGCTTTTTTGCTGGAGGAGACTATAACGCTAAACACCAACGATGGGGTTGTCGAGCATCCAACTCCCGTGGTAATATACTATCTTCTGTCTCAACTTCTAATAGTTACTCCATCCTCTCACCTATGAATCCTACCTATTGGCCAACCTCCCTCAAAAAACGACCTGATATCTTGGACATATTTGTCACCTCCCAGATTTCCTCTTCCTACGTCACTATCAAATCCCTGGATGACCTCTCCTCAGATCATAGTCCAGTTCTGCTTTCATTGCACTCAACTTTTGTTCCTAAGCCCTCTTTTTCTCCTTCACTTATTACAGGACGAGTAAACTGGGACAAATTTCGTAAAGACTTGGAAGATAAATTGGACCTAAATATTCCACTTAAGACGAAAAATGACATTGACTCAGCCATAGAGGTACTTACTTCATCTATAAGTGACAAAATTAACGATAACACATCAACCAATAAAAATAACAACTCCCAACAGACTAACTTGCCACAGCACATTCGTATCTTATTAAGGAAAAACGCAGAGCAAGATCGAAGTGGCATAGGACTAGATACCCATCAGACAAGTCATATTACAACAAGTTAACTAACCAACTAAAAGCTGAAATTAGGAAATACAAAATCCAAAGTTTACTTAACTTAACAGAAAATCTAACAACTACTGACAAATCACTATGGTTGACCACTAAAAAGCTCTTAAAATTCAAAGATTTTAACCACCCACTTCTTACCGAAACCCAAACCTGGTCTAGATCTGATGAAGAAAAATCTGAAATATTTGCTCAGCACCTCTTCAAAACATTTAATCCACACCCAGATATCCTAAATCCAATCCACCTTGAGTGTATTGAAGCAGAACTCGATATTCCACTCCAATTGACCCTTCCACCTAAAGCATTTCATCCTTCAGAAATATCCAATATCATACACAGATTACCTTCCCAGAAAGCTCCTGGCCATGACCTAATCACATCCCAGATCCTAAAACTGCTTCCTCAGAAAGCCGTATTATTCCTCACCTATATATATAATGCGGTACTCCGAACCACATATTTTCCTGACTCTTGGAAACTATCCATAGTCAAAATGATACCGAAACCCACAAAGCCGCCAGAATACCCATCCTCTTACCGTCCTATCTCTCTTTTACCCATTATGGGCAAAATCCTAGAAAAACTCATCTTAAAACGCCTGTATCCCATCCTAGATTCTAATAACATAATCCCAGATCACCAATTTGGATTCCGTACATCTCACTCCACTATTCAGCAATGTCATCGTGTGGTAGACGTGGTTTCCTCTGCATTGGAGCGCGGAATGTACTGCACGGGAGTCTTTCTCGACGTTGAACAGGCGTTTGATAGAGTCTGGCATCCGGGACTGATGTACAAACTCCGTAAATTCCTACCACCTACATACTTCCTCATTATCCGTTCCTACCTTAGTGATAGATACTTCAAAGTAAATCACAAAAATGCCTGTTCATCTCTTTTATCTCAATTTGCTGGTGTTCCTCAAGGTAGTATCCTAGGTCCTATCCTTTACACAGTTTATACAGCTGACATTCCAACCCATCCCAACACTGTCATCACCACCTATGCCGATGACACGTGTATCCTATCAGTTAACAACGATCCATCAATTGCATCCCAAACTCTCCAATCACACATCACAAATCTTGAAGAATGGTGTCAAAACTGGAGGATTAAAATAAACTCCAATAAATCCCATCAAATTACCTTTACCCTGCGTCGCAAACCTATGACCTCCTGTCCTACAGTATTCTTTAACAATTCCCCACTTATCCCAGTTGAACAAATTCGTTACCTAGGACTCCACCTCGACAAACGACTCACATGGAATCCTCATACAAGACTGAAACGACAAGAAACCGCTCGACGTTTCCGACTACTCCAACACTTACTAGACAAACGCTCTAAGCTTTCACTCAATTACAAACGACTCATATATATGACAATAATAAGACCTATTTGGACCTACGGAATTGAGCTCTGGGGCTCCACTAAGCCATCGAATTCCTCTCGTATCCAATCCTTACAATCCAAAATCCTTCGTAAAATCCTCAACGCTCCTTACTTTGTCACAAACAAAATCATCCATAAAGACCTTAATGTTCCATATGTTTCCGATTTGGCCCAATCCAGATACCTATCCTTCCATAACAAACTGCAGAACCATCCGAACCCTCTTGTTTCAAACATTGCTTCCTCCTCTATCCCCGATAATCCTCCCTCGGCATCTGAAAAGAAGATGGCCTCGGGATCTTCTAATATAGAACTTTAATTTGAGTTCTACCAATGGGTAGTTTCTCTTCATATTTTACATGTCATGTTACCAATGTCATATTTTAATGTAATACAGTTGTAAATTTCAATTAAAATTAAATAAAAAAAAAATTAGGTTACAGCCAATTACTTCATAGTAAACCAAATTAAATTTAAAATGAGTACAAATAAATCTTGTCTATTTTAAAACAATTTAAAGGAGACTTTTAAGCAGTTAAACTTTGGTAAGTTCGGATTTTCATAAAATCAAGTATTCTTCACAATTTTTTTTATAAACTCTCAACTAGACTGAAGATACAACACTTTCAGAAAAACTTCCTTGTTAAATGATCTTTAAGTCGAGTTTACATTAATTAATTAATTAAGTTGAGTTTACATTTTCTCTAATTGAGTAAAAATATTAATACGGTAAAATTAGTGATTGACCCCAATATTTTTACATCTTTTAACTCAAATTAGAGATGAATCTCAACTTACTCTGGAAGAAACCACAACTTAATTATTTAATTAACTGATAAATAAAGAAATTAACTAATATTAATATGGACTTAAAGCTCATCAAACAAGGATGTTTTTTTGAGTGTTGTGCCTTCAGTTCAGTTGGTAGGTTATAAAAATATATTTGCGAAGTACAGTAGTAAAAATTAACTGCTTAAAAGTCTTCTTTAAGTAGTTTTAAGGTAAACAAGATTTGCTTATCTTATATTTAATGTAGATTTAATCTAGTTTACTATGACGTACTTGGTTGTAACCTAAATTAAACATTTTTTTAGTTGTTTTTTATTTAACATAAAACATGGTTGGCATAAAAATAACAAAATATAAGTTTTCTAGATCTCGGCATGTAATCAGACCATGGTTTCTGGTAAATTTTTATAAATTTTAATGTCGTATATCTCTGATGATCAATTCTATGAAATTAATGTCAATCTAAACTTCGTATCATTATCACGAAAATCCCCATTGATTGATATCGAATATAATTCTGTTGTCAATGACTTTTTAGAATCATTAAAAGAAAGAAACAATGAATAATAATTTGAAGGAACGAAAATGTTAAAAAATTCACTAAACTTCAAAAAGGTATCGTCTACTATGAACAACATCAGTTTTGTGGTTTGAAGCAATTATTGCTTGAAGTGGAAATACAATAAATAAAATCTCATAAATATCTCCGTAACCATCAATTTTTTCAGAAAAATGTATAGCATCATTTTTATAGAGGTTTTTAAGTACTTTAATATTTTACTGAACAATCTTTACAAAAAAACCTCTTATTTTGAGAAATTCTTAAATAAAAAAATTTCATTTTTCTGTTCTTCCTCTCCTTCCCCCCATCAAAACCTGAAGCAGGATTCTTTGGGGCTTTTTACCAGTTATTATGGGGAGGGTAATAAACAATTTCTAACAAGTTTCATCTTTATTTTTTCAATGTTGAGGTAAGGCTGGTTTTTCCCTTTTTATTTCTTGACACTTTTCAGATTTACAGAAAGACTTACGTCAAGATCAAATTGTTTTTTATGTGGGCTTGATAGGCTCAATCTCATAAAATTTGCACCCATTATATGGGCAAAGTGTAGATATGTATGTGAAATCAGAAAATTCTTGTTCTCTTCTCTTATTCGGCATTACGACCCGCTAGATGAGTCATAGCCTGCTCAAGCTTAGACCGCCAGTCCTCCCTGTTCCGTGCTGCAGCCTTCAAGCATCTTCCTGTCATCTTGATCCTCTCCTTGATATCTTCATCGACATATCTATACTCCTTGAGGTGAGCACTAAGGTATTTAATAAAATCCATTACCTGCTCCAGACAGGTTCCATTTAGTCTAATGATTCGGTCCCCATGGTCACTTCTTCTTCCAATCCTCATAAATTGTTTTTTTGGAGATGTTGATTTCTATATTTATGGTCTTGAGCACAGCTGGCAGGATCTTCAGGTTAAACTGTAGGTTCCGTCAGTCATTTTCCACACAACACTATTTCTTTGGCTAACACAAGTACTGTATACTGGACTCTGTGGAGGTTTCTATATCAGAGATACAGCCTCATTTTCTGTTTTACTCGCTTAAAGGCAGAATCCAGCACTAGGATAAACAAGAGGGGATTAATGATGCAGTGCTGCCTAATTCCTTAATCAGTTGAGAATTCGCCTGTGTGATTGCAGATCCTAGTGACATTTCTCTACATTTCATACAGACTTAGGGTGATCTTTCTCAGTTCTGTGTAATCTTCCAGTGTTTTAGAGATGTCTCATTTCTGCACCTGGTCAAATGCTTAATTTTTGTTTTATTCTAAAAATTTAAAATTGCACTGTGTGAAAATTTCATCCACCAGTCTATTTTTATTAAATATTTTTAATCATTTATTATTCTGATTTATTTTTAATTAATTATTTCAACCGTGAAATGTTGTAAATTAATAAGTAGTCTCATAATTGTAATGAGTAATCTCATTTAGTAACATATTTTTGTTTCAGGTTGATGTTACAAACTCAATTAGCATTTGATTCTGTGAGAAAATATGGGTTTTCAGATAAAGACATTGATCAGTTGAAGGGCATCTTTGCTGATACAAATATTTATCTTCTTTGCATAACTCTTTTTGTTGCTGCACTTCATGTATGGCTGTTTTCCTTATTATTATGTATATGAATATTTTTAGTTTTAATTTATGAATTTTGTATATATATATATATATATATATATATATATATATATATATATATATATTAATCCGTGCATGTGTGGCTCCTATGAATACTGTGTTAAGTACAATTTTTATTTTTTTTTTTTTTAACTTACTTTTTCTCTTTTCTTGTCTAATGGACGGAGTAATATGACTATTACACATGTTTTTGGCATATTCATCATCATCATGAATGGCTCTAAAACTCCTGCAGAGTCATGGCCTCCCACAATTTCAACTGCCAGTCCTCTGCAAACAATGCTGCTGCCTTCCAGTTGTGGACACCAAGGATACTTCGGGCGTCGGCTTTCACTCCATCAGCCCATCTGAGTCTCGGTCTGCCTACCCCCCTTGTGGCGAGGATCCGCTCATCTATCAACTTTCTTAGCACATGTTGTTCAGACATACGGAGAATGTGTCCTACCCATCTCAACCTGCCAATTTTCATTGGCCTCACAACATTGGCTTCTTTATGTAGCTGTATCAGCTCATTGTTGGATCACATTCGTCGCTCCTGATTTATATTTATTATTGGACTGAATATTCTTCTTAGGACACGACGTTCAAATCGAAGAAGAGCTTGGGCTCTTGACGTTCTCCAGCACTCAGACCCATATGTTAGTACTGGTCTGATCAGAGTTTTGCTCAGGAGCAGCTTGGTTTTACGAGAAATCAATCTACTGTTGAGATGTTCCTGGAGACCAAAATAAGCTCTATTTGTGGCCATGATGCGCCTCTGTATTTCAGGATTCATATCGTTATTTACATTCACTTGCAAGCCAAGTTCCGATAAATTCTGAGACATCTTCAAGAGTCATCCCTCCGATTTCTACATTTGCCTCTCTGTGGCCTCCATCCTTTGGGTCGGCCCGCATAAACTTTGTTTTCTTCTCATTGATCTTTAAGCCAATTCTCGCTGCTGCTCCTTATAGCGCTAAGAAAGCATCTTTTATAGCTGCCCTTGTTCTTCCAACCAATGAAATGTCATAGGCAAACCCTAGTAATTGCACTGAATGATTAAAGACCGTTCCACCAATCTGAATTTATGATCTTCTAATGGCACATTCGAGGACAATGTTAAATAGAAGACACGCTAAGCAATCTCCTTGGCACAGTCCCTTCTGCACCTCCTTCATTGTCACTTGTATCGGTCGCACAAGTTTAGGTGGGACACCCAGGCCCAACATATTTTGGCATATTAGAGTCAGTAAGAGGGGAAAAAAGTATCAGTCGCAAAGCTCTGTAACTGAGTCGTATTTTTTATTTTTTTGTTTAAAAAACAGATGAAAAGAGATTTAATTGTTTCATTAATGCTTTAATTATTTAAATAGATAGAATTTTTAAATCATTACAAATTATTGCTCTATGCTTTATTATTTTCAAATAGTTGAACATCAAATTATGCTATCACTCTGGGAATCCAGATTAAAGAATGTTTGTAAAAACTAAAATTTTAGTAAAATTGTCCGATTTTTTTAATTTTTCAATAGATTTTAAATTAGGCAATTAAAGGTCTTCATCACCTAGGTATTATTTTATAGAAGAAACAAATAATGATAATACTAATGTAATGAGAGTAATATTAATTCCATTCTCACATTTTCCAGACCCAGGTTAAATCTATATAAAGATGGTTTAAAATAAATAAACAATATAAGTTAATTTTTTGAATAATTGTTATTAATAGTTCTTATTTCTATTTTATTAGTTGTAATTGTGGTTTTACGCCTTTTTCATGTGTTTTATACATCAAAATGTACACATTAATTTTTTAATAAAATTCACTGAATTATAAAAAAAACTGTTTTAACTCAGTAATATTTTTAATTATTATATAAATATAGTAATATAAAATAATATTTACAATCATTACAACAGAAGTATCGGATAGTATCATAATGTACATTATTAATCCTTCACTTAACAAACTGCTTCCAAAACGGCTTTATAATTTTGGTTAATAATAATAATTAGTAAAATACTTTTAAAGGAGTTTAAAACTATATATTTGATTAAATTATTTTTATTTTATATTAATATACTCATTTGAAAAGTGGTGATTTGGAAAAATTCATATTTGTTCTAGTTGCTTTTTGATTTCCTGGCCATTAAAAATGATGTGATATTTTGGAAGAAACAAAAGACTTTAGTTGGTTTGTCTTTGAAGACTGTCCTATGGAGGGCTTTTAGTCAAATAGTAATATTTTTATATTTACTTGACGAACAAACATCATTATTGGTATTGGGTCCTGCTGCTATTGGAACCATGATTGAGGTAACACAAATTTTTACATTGAATTTTAAAACTGACAAACTTTAGTTATCGAGTCAAATTAGTAAATATTCCAGACTATTTATGGTCCTATTTCAATAATAAGTGATTAAGATTGAAATAACACACTGCTGATTTTATTTTATTAATGCTTCTAGTACTTGTCTAGTAGCCAGTCGGGACGAAACCTCCTTTCTTATCTTGTGTAAGCTGTGAGTTATTCCATTGTTTATTTTTCTTCCATCTGTGTGATTTTCTTCAAATTATGGATGTTATTACATTGTGGGAATTGCCGTTTTCAGAAGAAGAGGCTATCGAATATTTTCAAAATGCCGGGATGATTGCAAGCATGAAATTGTGTGAAGGTCATCAAATGAAATTAGACAGGAAGACGAAATGGAGATGCTTTCGTACCACTTGTAACAAAAACGTTTCTATAAGGAAAGGAACGTGATTAGAGGGATCGAGGATTTAAAATTAATTTATGGGTGGTCCTTCAGTTTAACAATGATACAGTGGAGCAAAGAGCAGCTGAAACTATCCATGACAACTATGATAATGTGGAACAAATTTTTAACTGAGGTTTGGTCCCATAACATGTTATACAGGTCAAGTAAAAAAATTGGAGATCCAGGTAAAGTCGTCGAAATAGATATATGCGTATAGGTATATGTTGTAAAATCAAAGTGTTTTCTTATTGTTGTGGGAATTATTACATTTCTTTTTGTCTATTTCAATTTCAAATCAAACTATTTTGTTATTATTACATATATATGTCGTAAAAAAAAAAAAGTATTTTTTATTATTACATTTGTTTTTGTTTACAATTTCAATAATATGAAAGATAGGGGTTATCAGTGCCTTGTCAGAATTATCAGTGTTCAGGTTATAATCATTGGCACATAGCAGTCGATCCTGACCAGCTACTAGACAAGTACCATTCTTCATTATCAAGACAACATAATACCCTCTCCGACAATAATTAGTCAAAATGTTCTTTCCTAAACATCACAAGCTTGTCAGATTATGGAAAGTGTCAGACTATCAAAATTTTACTGTGCTTAAAGACCACAGAACCTGCCTGATTTTATTGTATTTTTATCTATGAAAATTAATACAGTCTTAAAACACTTTAATATTTCTTTTAACTGACTTACTCCTCTTTGTCTTCAACCGCATTTACATTCATGTGATGTAGCTATTTCTTTTATAATGCCTTATTATTATTATTATGTAAGCATACTAAAAATTGTTTATTATTAAAAATTAAGGAAGAAAATATGTTAATTATCATATTACCTGAATCTCCCAATATTGGCTTCATAAATGCATTTTTTTTTTCTGTTTGCACTTCCTTGGAAATTGATAAATGTCTAGGCCCTCAAAATATTAAGTATGAAGTTTTTCAAATTGAAGGGTTTTGTTTTTTTTACAAAGTGTTGGGTTGGCAAATAAGTGCTTTCGGTTTTTATGTCACCATAATACACTTCTTATCTGATGAAGTAATCCATATGGTGGATTGTTTATCCTGCTTATAATATGTCAACAACTACATCTGTTAACTCTTGTTGAAACTAGCTTGGTATTGTGTTTGCTATTACATTGTGAATATGGAAGAACATATCATTCATTATTAGCTTATTTTGTTGTACTATTTTAAAAAAGGTAAGCATGCTGCAGAATCGTAAATGAGTCGCCCACAAGCATAGAAAACCATTTGCACAAGCTCGGCTATGTTTCCAGGCTTAATGTTTGGGTCCCTTACTCTCTAACCGAAATCAACTTGGCAACGCACATTTATGTTTGTGATTCACTACGGAAACGGTGACAAAACAACACATTTTTGAAAAGGTTGGTAACCGGAGATGAAAAATGTATATTCTACGATAATTTATTCTGTAGAAAATCTTGGGGACCTAGTAGTGAGGCTCCTAGAAGAATTTCAAAACCCAGATTACACCCAAAGAAGATAATGCTTTCCATATGGTAGGATTTCAAGGGTGTTATTTTCTATGAGCTATTGCCATCAGGACAAACAATTGATTCACTCTATACTGCTTACAATTAATAAAATTGGATCAATCAATTAAAAATAAACTTCCAGAACTGGCAAATCGGAAGAGTGTTGCTAGGCCCCACACCTCATTGGTCACTCGCAATAAATTATTGAGTCTTGGATTTTGCCCCACCCTCCCTATTCATCAGACCTAGCTCCAAGTGACTACCACTTTTCCGGTCTCTGCAGAACTCCATGAATGGAAAGAAATTCCAAAAGGAAGATGACATCAAAAACAACTTGGATCAGTTTTTTAACAATAAACTCGTAGACATTTTATGAACATGGCATTGTGCAGTTAATGGAAAGATGGGAAAAAGTCATATTAAATAGTGGTCAATATATTGTAGATTAAAATAAATTTTAGGTCTATAATACATTGAGTTTTATTTCATCCTGAAAAAATGAAAGGACTTATTTGCCTACCCAATAATTAATGTGTGTGTGTATTTATATTTATATTAATTTCTTAGTTGTGGAAAGTGCAAAAAGTATTAGCTTTTGACTGGCGAAAAATGGAATTCAGAAAGTTAGAACTGACAGATGATGAGAAGAAAACAAGATTGCTCGATGCTGAAGGAATGTATTATTTATCTCGTATTTTGTACCCTATATGTACTCTTGGAGCATTGTATTCTCTTTTCTATGAACACCACAAGAGGTAATTGTAATTATTTCTTACTGTTTTAATGTGTTTAAATTTTTTAATTCGTAATATTTTACTAAATGAAATTATGTAGTAATTAGTTAAATATATTTGTTTCAGTTGGTATTCTTGGATAATTCACAGTTTAGTCAATGGTGTTTATGCCTTTGGTTTCTTATTCATGCTTCCACAACTGTTTATTAATTATAAGCTAAAGTCTGTTGCTCATCTTCCTTGGAGATCATTTATGTATAAAGTTAGTTGCTATATATATTTTTTGTGCTAATATTAAATTTAACATTTTAAAAAGCCTGTTTTTAGTTTCCTTGCTAATAATATGTTTTGTTTTTTTTACATTTAATTAGTGGTATTGGCTTATAACAGCTACTTCATTAAGCTGTTGAATTAAAGGTATGGCTTGGTCAGTATGCTGATTAGCGTTAAGTTGTTTTCATAAACTGTTAATAAAACTGACTAGTTGCTACACAGGTCACCTTTCTGTTATTTAGCTTTAGTTGCTAATCTGGTCTACTAATGTTACTTTCACTTAACTCGATTTATAGTTTTCAAACCACATATACAATAATGATCATTTAGTTATTTTTTTGTGACTCAACAATAATACTCATATCAACTTTCAGTATGAAATGATTTAAATAGACTTTTGCGAAGCTATAGATTGGTACAATATGAAACTCTGATTACTATTCAGTTAAGATGTAAATAGCATATAGCAGTTTAAGAGTAAGACTAATCAGTAAATATAATAAAAAATATGCTAAATATTCTTAATCTAATTTTACATTGAATTATATTTCTAAAAATAAATTATAATTCACAATTCTTTGTGGAAAGATTAACATTAGCAAAATGCTCCAACAGAAAAACCAGAGAATAAATTAGATGTCCAATAATTCTTAGTATTGTTTTCTTTAAAAAGCATTAAAAATTAAATAAGGAAACAAAAAATATTGATAATAAAAAAAAATCATACTTTCCTTTGTTCTTCCTTTGCTTTGGTGATTATTAAATTAAGAATGTCATTCACAGCATATTAATATTCTTTTAATCTTAAAGTTGTTTGGTCAGATTTTCTATTTCATTCTAAAATACGAATACTCTAACCTTGAATTTACATATATCTAAAACAAAAATACTAATGAGAAAGATATATTACAGTTTACTTACTTATTATTTTTATTTTGTTATATGTTCTGTAATTTTCATTATAAATCGCTTACCATTTGTATATTTCAATATTTTCATGAAATAACTAACATTTAATTATTTATTTTTATTTTTTTCAGGCATTCAACACATTCATTGATGATCTGTTTGCATTTATAATTACAATGCCAACAGCTCATAGAATTGCCTGCTTTAGAGATGATTTTGTATTTTTAATATATTTGTATCAGCGATGGTAAAATTGAATTTTAATTATATTGTTATTTTATAATTTGTTAGTATTTATATTTATAGTTTGTGTTTATAACATGCATAGTATTGGATTTTTATATTTATACTTTATTACATTATTATTTCTGTACTATATATTGATAATTTATTTTCTTCTTAGGTTATATCCTGTTGACAAGTCAAGATTTGAAGAACGTAATACTGATGACTAAAGTGTAACCAAATAATTATTTTGTTATTTATAATTTATATTGTTATTTATTTATTTATTTTATTTTATAATTTAAAATCAATCATTGATCTATTGTTTTGTTTTTTTGTAAAAGTTTGAACTACAAGTTAATTTTTGAAAAATTAAGAACTTTATGTTTAAGTTGTTTTATTTTTCATTTTTGTTATAATAATTTTGAAATTTTTTTTTATTTTAACATTGTTCTTACAATTGTGATATTGTTGAAATAATAACTATTTTTATTTTAAGTTATTAGGATTATTTTAAATTATATTTATCCTTTTAATTTGTATTCATAAATTACATGCTGTGTCCTTTGTTTTTATTTACCGTTAAATCAATTTTTTAATACAAGATGTTATATATGCACTTTAAACATATTAGGAAAATTTAATATTTTTCTTTTTTTATTTAAGTTATTTTAATTTTTGCACTTACACATTCCAAAATGGCCAAGTATTAAAAAGTATTATGTAATGAAATAGGAGTTAGATGCTTACTCATATTTCACTTCCATAAAAACAATAATAAAAATTTAATGCAGAATAATCATTGTTAATCTAAAAATAAATATGATCTTTGTAATTCATTCCTTGGTCTTGATTAAACTTTCTGTTTTTCCTTCCTCCCTTTTTCTACAAAAAATAAAAAAAAGAAATCTAGATCTCAACATCTTTATGTTTCTTATATCCTGTATTTAAATCCTGCTGCAATGTGCACAGGCGGATTTACGGGGAGGCATTCGGGCTGAAGCCCCTCCCTCCCCCCCCCAAAATGGTAAAATGTAACCATGTTTTATGGTAAAAAATATTAAAAAATTATGTCTTAAAGTATTATTGCTCGTTTAATTACATTTAATAAGACTTCAAGAATCACTTAAACACCATTTCATATAGATAGTTAGTATCTTTCTGTTTTTCTAAAGTAATTATCGTTTTTATATGAAAAAAAAAGGTTCCGGGCTGAAGCCCCTCCCCAAAATTAAATCCTGGATCAGCTAGTGGCAATGTGTAATACGTAAAGAGTGTAATGTGCTGTGTAGTGAAAAGTGGGGTATTGTTGTTGATTAACTCAAAAGAACATTAGAAATAGTTTTAAAAAGGAGTTTTTAGTCTGGTTAACTATACAATACCTTTGTAATTTACAAATGAAAAAAAACAAAAAATTAAATTGACCATCACCTGGCCAGGCTTTGGTGGTACTAAAATCCTTTGTTTTTTTAAAAGAAATATGTCATGGCTGAAGCAAATTTTCTAAACCTGATAAGGAGCCCCCGGTCTTCTCCAGGTTTTAAGAGTATAGGGAGACCTAACATTTTTTTTTTTTACATGCTTCAATAAAACGAGCATAAAGTACTCAAACTTGAGAATGTTTAAGTGGGCAAGGCCTCGACACAACCTTAACAGTGGCCCGTAAGAAGGGTAACTGGGACAGCAGGTAAAATTTAGTTAGTGGTGATTCCATGGTGGATACACTGTGTTTGTTCAGTCTGCAAAAACGTGCTTTGTGTAGGCATTACTACCTTGCACCAGTTTGAGGACCTAAATTCACTACACTCGTGCAGTTAGATTTTATTTATTTCCATTGCTTTTTTCAAAATTCTGATTTTCATGAAACTTTCGCTTGTGCCTCAAGAGTACAGTGCCCCAAGGCAGTAGCACAGAACATGTGCTGTCCATGCTGACTGAACCAACAGTGAATCCATCACCGAATCACCTCAAACTAAATTTTACCCACTGTAACAAATTTACTCCATCTTACGGTATCTCAGTTACACAATCTCAAAAATGATCATGGTTACCAGAATTAGGATAGCAAGGCACTTTTCCTCCCCAAATATTTTATGAAGGGGGGTCAGGGTTTCTGTGGTTTGTCAGTATTTCACAGTTATTTAGTTAAAAATAAAAAAGCCTGTACCACTACAACATATGAAGGGTCTCGGGTTCAGTACTATTTAGAGAAAGCACTGTTTCTTGGTCTACAGTTGTGCAAGAAGGTGATTTGACCGAGATCACGCCTAACCGCCAGGTTTTTCCCCTTAATTAATTATTTTAATTAAGGGTACCCACTTTATAGAGGCTGGGGGGGCCCAGGAGGGTCTGCCTACCCAGGATCGCCCCATGGCCAATGAAACAATAAATATTTCTGCCATGAGCCGGGATTCGAACCTGGGACCAATAGCATTGGAAGCTCAGTACCCTACCACTGAGCTACCCCATTCCCTTTAAAATGTGAGTTATAAATAACTCACAAAAATGTTAGTGTTACAGGTGGACATCCTAGACAGATGGAAAATTTTCTATAGGCACAATCAAACATAATCTACTTGGCACTAGAGTGGGAAGGTCGAAAATAATTCTGTGGGTTTGCACCAAATAAATTTCAATCCTCACAGGCCGTATTGGAACAGCCTTCGCTAGACACGAAAAAGTTTATACCTTAACTACTTGACATGCATGCTAAGTATTAATGACGACCTGATTCCAGAAATGGCACTCTACCCATCATAAATAACAAGAAACTGCATACTTTACATGGAGAATTCCCAATTTCAAGGTTCATAAGGGTACAGCACATTAAAGTAGCTAGAACATGCTTAAAGGATGAGCGAGGAGAGAACAACTAAAAAGCTATATTAGGGAAAATCCCATCCTTCATAAGGGACAGTAATGGAAGGAACCAGCTTTCCAATCTCTTGGGAAAAAACTGTGGAAGACCTTGTGTACATAAAAAAAGGAATGTATATAACAATTAAAAAAAAGAAAAGAAAAGTGGAATGTGAGCTCCAGATTTACTAAGAAACATAGGTAAATAATGTTTGGACACAACTAAAGGTGAATCTCAACTTAATTAAAACAGAATTGAAGCTCATTAAGCATGGAAGTTTTTCTAAAAATGGGGTATCTGTAGTTTAGTTGGAGGGTGATAAAACACAGCTAATCAATAATTTTATCTTAAAATAATTATAAACTTAACATAGTTCAACCGCTAAAAAACCCATTTTAAAATGTTATTTATTTTACAAATTCTACTTGTCTTTGGAGGAAACTTTGCCTAGTCTACTTCAAATTACTATGAAGCTATTTGTAATTACCTAAATTAAACAGTTTTTTTAGTTATCACTTTCTATTAAAGAAAAACGTAACTAACATTTAAAAAAAAAATACTAAATTTAATTTGCATTTTATTAAGTTTAAGGTGAACACTGTTTTTTAAGAATTCAAATAATTTAGGGTCTCTGCAGGGATGTGACCTAGAATTTCCCTGAGTATTCTCTGCGTGTCATAAGAGGTAACTAAAAAAGAACCCTTCCCCTCTTTCCTCTGGGAAGAGAGACCTTTCTCACGAATACTATTCTTCTCCCTTTTGTCGAGAGAGAAATAGGAAAGTATCAAGCAGATTTTATGAGAGCTAAATGAACAACTGATCAGATTTTCTCTCTGAGAATGATGTTGGAGAAAGCCCATGAATATAATATTCAAATCCACCACTTCTTCATCGATTTCCGGGCTGCGTATGACGGTGTACTGAGAAAAGAACTGTTCAGAGTGATGTTGGAAATGGGTGTCCCTAGAGGACTGGTATGCTTTATTCGTCAAACAATGGAGTCCGTCCAGTGCTTTCTACGATCTGAGGGCGAGTTATCGGATGCTTTCATCATCCGCAAGGGCTTAAGGCAGGGAGATGGGCTGGCCTGCTTACTGTTTAATTTTTCCCCAGAAGGAGCTATTAGGCAGTCAGAAATTCAGGTTGGTGGAACGATTTTCAATCGCACGGTGCAGCTCCTTGGATACGCTGATGATATCGACATCATATGTAGGACATTTACGGCCATGAGCGAAGCCTTCTTAAGCCTTGAGACAGCAGCTGCACGGTTTCGACTGCAAGTTAATTAGTCCTAGACTAAATACATGAACACTAATGCTACAAGAAGAGTACCCGAGCGCATCCAAGTTCAAAAATACACATTCGATACTGTGAACGAATTTATATACCTGAGATTTCTAGTTACAAGCCACAATGCAGCAGGGGCTGAAGTGCAACGCAGAATACAGGCAGCCAACAGATGTTACTTTGGACTAGTCCCGCAGCTTAAAAGCAGGGTAATCTCCCAAAAAACAAAGCTGGGACTGCAAAAAATCCTAATTAGGCCTGTTCTCACCTATGGTGCTGAAGCGTGGACGCTGACAAGGGCATTGGAGGAAAACTTGCGCCGCTTCGAAAGGAAGGTGCTCAGAGGATTTTAGGACCAATCTATGATCCAGAGGGGCCCACCTGGAGAAGGTGAACAAATCAAGGAATAATGACCATGTACAAGGATAGGGATATCATCCGTTTTATAAAGATGGGACAGCTCCGGTGGGCTGGTCATGTGGCTAGGATGAGCCCAGAGGAGCCAACTCGACAGATCCTGGATGATAAGATCGAAGCCAAAAGAAGAGTTAGACGCCCAAGGCTGCGCTGGCAGGATGGTGTAACATCGGACGCCCGCTCCATCCTGGGAACGGGAAACTGGAGAGCAATGGCGCAAAAAAGACAGGACTGGTGGAAATCATTACAGGAGGCCCTGACTCCTCCTGGCTTGAAGCACCATTAAATAAATAATAATATATAATTTGAGCTGTTATTCTAGAATCCTATACGAGACATTAACAACAAATATTGATTAATTATTGCTAAATATGCTTAATAATTAGCATCACTATTTAATAAAATTTTTAGTTGTAAAATAGTAATTTTTAATTAGTCTTATTAGATCAGCTTTTGGACATGGCGTAGTAACGTCCGAAACGTTGCCTTGTAGGTGAAGATTGTTGAAAGAATAAATATATGATAGAAAAATAAAAGCCCAAATTATATCAATTTAAAAATCTTAAATTACCGTATTTTCTCAAAATCGGACCGTGTTTTATGAAAAATCTTTCGTGCTTCTTCGTCTACAATCATGTCTTTAAATATTTCTGTTTACTTACGGGTTTTTCTACTCAGTTTTCCGTTGAAAAATATTCTTTTCTTAAATTGACTCTAATACACTTAGAAGTTTGTTCTGCGATTTATTAGTAGTGTCTCCAAGTAATATTTACGCGAAGCATGATTTCTTACTATT